GTTTCAGAACTTCAAAGGCTACACAGAGAAACCCTGTATCAAAATAATAATAATAATAATAAAATAATAATAATAATTAATCTCCCCAGTGAGGGGCTGGAGGCAAGGCTTAGTGGAAGGGTCTGTCTAGATTCGTCTAGTTAGGGCCTGAGGGTGTGGCTGGGCAGTATGCTTAAATAGCATGTATAAGACTTGGAGTTTTTGTGTTTTAACTCCAGCACAGTAAGACAGAAGAAAAAGTACTGGAACTTGTTAGTCATCTATCACTAGCTTTCTCTACCCAGTTAGCTTCCTTGTGTTTGTCTGCACCTGGATCACCTCTCCGTTGCCTCTCCCCTGGATAATTGCCAACACCTTTCACCTAGCTTTCCCTAATGCTCTCCTATCCCCAGCCAGGCCGAGTTGACTTAAGGTAGCAGGCTCATGAACATTGAGGTTTAAGTTTGACCCTAAACACCTGTACCTCCATGCTGGGCATAGGACCAGGGCCTTGCATAAGCTCAACAACCCACATTGTATTGGAGAGCTCCACCCCCTGCCCTACCTGCTTGCAATTCTTCATGGCAGTGTGACCAACTAGGTTTTTATTTCTCATTTTTTTACATGTGGTGCACATTCAGATGTCTGTGTGTGTGTGTGTGTGTGTGTGTGTGTGTGTGTGTGTGTGTGTGTGCGCGCGCGCGTATGGGTGGGTGGGTGCTTTTCTATGAAAGCTTAAATTTGAGATCCTGGAGTAGCTTTCTCCTCTGTTGATCTCTGCCTTATTTTCCAAGGCAGGATCTCAGTGAATCTAGAGTTCTGGGATTCACCCAATGGGACTGGTGGTTTGGGTTTCCTGTCTCTGGCTCCTGTGGGCTATGATCATCGGTTACCACAGGTGCAGGGTACCCAAAGTGAGATAACCCCTTGTGTGGTGTTTATCCAGTGAGCATCTCCCAAGCTCTTGTTATTGTTTTGCTTGAAAACAAGATCTTGGGCTGGCAAATGGCCAGCAGGTAAAGACGATACCCACAGAGCCTGACCTGAATTGATTCCCAGGACCCATACAGTACAAAGAGAGAAATGAATCCTAATTGTCTTTTCATTAGACCCTGGCACGCTCTCAAATGGGAAAAAAGAATTAAAAATCAAATGAAATGAAAAACAGGTTCTTCCTATGAAGTTCTTTAGCTTGGAACTCCTGAAAATCCTTCTGCTTCAGCCTCCCGAGTACTGGGATTACAGGTGTGAGCCACCACACCCAGCCCACTCATATTTTTAAAATGCAAGCTATGCACCACATGCATGCAGTACCTGTGGAGGCCAGAAGAGAGTGCTGGAGTTCCTGAGAACTGGAGCTAGGAACTGAACCGTGGCAAGCCATCTTGCAGGTGCTAGGAACTGAACTTGGCTCCTCTGCAAGAGCAACAAATACTTTTAACTGCAGAATCATCTCTCCAGCCCTCAACTATATTTTGACTGACTTAGGTGAGTGGTGAGGGTGTCCAGGACTGCTGAGTTTCCAATATTCAAAATAAAAAAGTCCCAAGCCTTATAACCTGAGCACTTGGGAAGCTTAAGTAAGCAGATCATCAGTTCAAAGTCAGTGTGGACTTCACAGGTAAGTGGATCTCTGTGAGTTTCTGCTTCAAAAACAAAAACAAGTATGAATCCCTTGTAGTCACAGGAAGTCAGTAAAATGCTTGCTGCAAAAGCAAGGGAACCAGAATTTGATCCTCAGCACCAAAATAAAAATTCAGACATGGGCCAGGCTGTGGTGTGCACACACAACACACTGGGGGATGGTGGGGAGCAGAGACAGGCAGATCTCTGAGTTCAAGGCTAGCCTGATCTACAGAGTGAGTTCCAAAACAGTCAGGGCTACACAGAAACCTTGTTGAAAAAAGTGGTGATGGGGGAGGTAGAGAGAAGGGGAGGAAGAAGCAAGGAAGGAAAAAATAGAGAAAGTAAATGCTACCTTTGGGGGGTATGTGCTCAAGGTGGAGCACATACTGTGCAACAGACCCTGGGTTCAAGCCCCAGCACCAACAAAACAGATCAGAAGCTTAAAATACTCTCTTGGTTGATCCAGCTTCTAATGCAGGGTGTGCTGCCCGAGAGATGTCACAGATAACAGATGGCAAATGCACCTGATCCTCAGACCCAGCCACCTTCCTTACTGAGTCAGAGAACTGGACCTGAGAATGAGGGCTGTAATCCTCTACAGCAAAGATCACCCCACTCAGGGAAGGGATTGCATGGTGTGTGTTTGTGTGAATCTCAACTGTACCTTAGATTCTTCTGGATCTTTCACTGCTGTGTATAAGGACTTCAGTAGAAGCAGACTGCACAGAGGTACCAGCACAGGGGTCAGTGAGAGAGCTCAGTGAGAAAAGGGTCTTGCCACCAGCCTGATGACCTAAGATTGACACCCAGAACTGACTCCAATAAGCTGACATCCACACAAATGTCATTCATAGTGTGCTTGCTTTCCCCATACATAAGTGTAACTAAAGTCATAAATAAGGAAGTATGTTAAAAGTGCTAGAAAGGTTACCCAGGTGACATCTAAGACCTTCCTCAAGGCTGCCCATGCTGCAGCCCATCCTTCCTACTTCCTTCCAGACCCTGCAAACCAAAAATGTGCTACCTTGCAGCCATACAATTCCCTCTTCCTTCCTTTGCTCTCTTTAAAATAAATCTTTATTTATATGTGTGTATGTGTGATTTGTGAGTTTATTCACACAAGCTTGCAGGTGTCCACAAAGGCCAGAAGGCATCAGATCCCCCAGGACATGAGTCATGGGTAGTTCTAATTAATGAAGGCGCCCTCTCCTCTGTCTCTCTCCTCTCACTGAACCTGAAATTGACCATGTCACCCAGGCTGGCAGTTCCCAGTGCTGGTTTTGACATGCATGCTGGGGTTTAGACTCATGTTCTCTTGCTTGCTTATCCTAGCCCTTCACTGTTGGCTCTCTATCTGTCTTTCTCTTTGGTTGTGAGCCTAGCCTTTTATCACTGGGCCACCTCTCCAGCCCCCCTCTCGTTTACTTGTGAGGACCTGGCTGCCCCAAATTCACAGAGATCCACCTGCTTCTGCCTCCAGAGTGCTGGGATTAAAGGTGTACACCAAAAATAATAGCAATAATTAATTAGTAAATAAATAAATAAATAGCCAGGAGTTGGTGACTCACATCTTTAATCCCTCCCTCAAGAGGCAGAGGCAGGTGGATCTCTTCAAGGCCAGCCTGGTCTACAAGAGTGAGTTCCAGGAAAGCCAGAGCTACACAGAGAAATCATGTCTTAAAATAAAACAAAACAAATGGTGTACACCACCACACCTGGCTGTAGGGGCTCTACTATTGAGTTTCATTTCCAGCTTTTTGAGACTTTCTGAAGTCATATATGGCTCTCTCTCTCTCTCTCTCTCTCTGTGTGTGTGTGTGTGTGTGTGTCTGTGCCTGTGCACTTGTGTGTGGGTACCCCACAAGAGGCAGAGGCATCAAAGCCTGCTCTAGTTTTGAATCAGGCTATGACCATCTGAAAGTGCAGCACACACCCTTGGCCAATAGACCACCTCTGCAGCCTAATGTATATAACATTTTTCATCTGTTTGTTGTTTGGCAGGGTCTTATCATATAGAGGCTGGCCTGGAAGTTATGTAGCCCAGGCTGGAATTCAGAGATCTGCCTGTCGTTCCTAACACTGGGATTAAAGGTGTGCCCCACCACAGCAAGTTCCCCCACCACACACAAGAGGACTTTGCTATGTAGGACAGACTGGCCTTGATGTCACAACCCTCCTATCTTAGCTTCCTATCACTGGGGTTATAGTTTGTCCTACTATACATTAAATATCCTTAGATAAGGACCCTGAGTTAGATGAAAATTTACCTGGCCATTTAGAAAAAAATACTTTTATTTATTTATTTTTTTAATTTGTGTGTATGTGCACATGCCTTTGTGTTCAAGTCCTTTCAGAGGCCAGGAGAGAACTGGAAATAGACTCATAAAGTGTTTGTGAGTCACCTAACATGGGTACTGGTGAACTAAACTTGGGCTTCTAGAAGAGCAGCAAGTGTTCTTAATTGCTGAGGTATCTCCAGCTACTGAATTTTGTTGACCTTGTCTCATGTCGCCTAGGCTAGCCTCCAACTTCTATATATAGATGACCTTGAATTTCCTTTCTTCTACTTTTTTTAAAGGCATGCACCACCATGGCCCAGCTAAATAAATTCTTTTTAAAAAAGTTTTACCAGTTGGCCACAATGACACAAGCCTTTAATCCCAGCACTCAGGCGGCAGAGGCAGGCAGATGTCTTGAGTTGGAGGCCATCCTGGTCTACAGAGTGAGTTCCAGGACAGCCAGGGCTACACAGAGAAACCCTGACAGCCAGGGCTACACAGAGAAACCCTGTCTTGAAAAACAAAAATAAATAAATAAATGAAAATATTACCAAGAGGCAGGCATAGTGGTGCATGCTTTTAATCCCAGCAATTGGGAGACAAAAGCAGGTGGATCTCTGAGATTTAGCTAGTTCTAGGGCAGCCAGGGCTACACAGGAAAACCCTGTCTTGAAAAACCAAGTGTGGCCGGGTGGTAGTGGCGCACACCTTTGATCCCAGCACTCAGGAGGTAGAGGCAGGCGGATCTCTGTGAGTTTGAGGTCAGCCTGATCTACAGAGCTACTCCCAGAACAGCTAGGGCTGTTACAGAGAGACACCCTGTCTCAAAAAAAAAAAAAAAAAAAAAAAAAAAAAAAGACAGAAAGAGAAAAAAAGAGAAACCAAGTGTGTATATGTGTGGTGGTATAAATATAATTATTACTATTATTTTGGAGACAAGTCTGGTATAGGCCAGGTTGGCCGTGAGTCGGCCATGTACTCATGAATGACTTATTTTCCTGCTTCTGCTTCCTGCTGTTATGATGACAAGTGTGGACTACCAGGGTTTATGTGTGCTAGGGATGGTTCCCAGGACTCCATGAATGCTACATTAGTTCTCTATCCACTGAGCCATACTCAAGGTCCCAGAAATCTTTATTTTGCTGCTTGGGTACAAAAAGGACAAGCAGGAACCAGTTGGTGCTATACACTCAGGAGGCTGAGGCAGGAGGGAGGATCAGGAATTCAGGGTTTCAACAGAAGGCCATCCTGGGCTACATGAGACCCTGTCTCAAAATCAAGGAAAACACAGGAGGCCCCAGGAAAAGTGGCACAGGAATTAGGTCATTGGCTTCTAATGCACCTAAAACTGACAGGACGACTGTGTGGCCCATGAGCCTGCAGAGTGCACAATGGTAAGCAGAGAAGACAGACAGGTTTCAAATACCAGCCCCAAACAAGATCTGAGTGTATTTCAATAGAAGAGCTGTCTATCCCTGAGGGATCCCAAATGCTCTCTGAGGACCTGTGTGCAAGACACTGCTTAATGTGTTTTTAATTTCCATGGGAAAGTTAAAGGGTTGCTTAACAAAATAACTATCCAGGGCTTAGAGGCCAGTGCTCTCTGTGCAGGCTTGTTCCTGGGGATCACAGCTCCTGAGGGAGCCTCAGCCCTTTGGCCTCACGTGGCCCCTTCTTCCCCTAGAATCGATCACCAAGTTGCAGAGACCAAAGAAAATACCTGTGACCCCTGCTTTACCTGTCCCCACTTGAAAGGGGATGTGGGTGCTGGTGGCCTCATCTGCAGCCAGAGGGTAGACGGGCCTCTCATTTGTGAGGGTGCCCCTCCCATACCGCCCAGGCAGGCTGTCTTGGATGCTCCAGGGGCTTTGACAGATGGGCACATGGGTTTTAGTTCTGGTCTTCCACAATGTCATTTACAAGGCATCCCAGCCACCCTTCCTGGAGAGGATGCTTTCTTCTGCTGCCTCTTCTGTCCCTGTGATTTCTGTTGGTGGGTTTGTTTGTTTGCTTGCTTGCTTTATTTCTTCTTTCTTTTTTCTCCTTTCTTTTCCTTTCCTTTCCTTTCCTTCTTTCTCCTCTTTCCTTTTGCACAAAGACAGCAGTGGTCTGGATAGACATTTTTCTTACTTGTCAGTGCTTCAGGAAACCCAAGTGCTTCATTCAGCAGGTACAATTCTGTTGATCAATTTGCTTCCGACAGGGTTCCATGGTGACAGCAACACCCACTCCACTACGGCCAGATGTCATACAGGTCACCTCACTCCAGGTGTCTGTGTCTGGGTCATAGCATTCCACACTGTCCAGAAAGGTGTGGCCATCATAGCCTCCTGTGGAGAGAGTGAAGATGAAGGTCACCTCCCTCAGAGGACTCAGTCTAATGCTCATGACAACAGGAAACAGGAGGGGAAAAGCCACCTGTTTGTAGTGGATGAAGATGAGGTAGAGTTCAGCGGCTGAACCCTGCCAAGACTTCCCATGGAAGCAGGGAGGCGGTGTGGGGGTGTAAGGGGGTGGAGAGGTATATCTCAGTATTAGAGTCCCTGCCCAGAATTCCCCATTGAGGGTTTGGGTTGGTGCTGTGGCTCAATTCTAGAACACTTGCCAAGCATTCAGGTGTTCCTTGGGTTCTAGCCTCAGCACCAGCAGTTGAGGAAAAGATATGGACAGTCTTTTTTTTTCACCCTGACCCGCCTCCTAGGCCTCACCAAGGACATAGATCCTGCCCTGGTGCACAGTAATCCCAAGTGCACTCCGGCGATGCTTCATGGGGGCTACAAAAGTCCAGGCCTCTGTCTCCACGTCATAGCGCTCCACACTGTTGAGCTGGTCCTGCCCATCGTAGCCCCCTGCTGCATAGATACAGTTGTATAGCACACAGACCCCTAAACAGAAGCACACAGCAAAGGGTCACTTTGAGGCTGGGTTAAGGGGGACCTCAGTAGCTACCTTCCTCCCCTCCACCATCTTTCCAGAAGGAACCCTGAGAAACTGAGCTAGAATTTGGTGTGGTGGAGCAGGACTGTCACTCGAGCACTGTAGAGGCTGAAGGAGAATCACGAGCTCAAAGCCATCCTCAGCTATGTAATGATTTTGAGGACAGCCTGTTACATAAGATACTGACTCAAACAAAACAAAACCAATCTCGAAGAGAGGAAGACAGATGAAGGAAGCCTCTTCTAAGGCTGGGTTAGGTGTGGTCTTTCCAACACACCACACTCACCAGCCCCACTTCGGATGGTATTCATTGGCGTAATCATCCGCCACTCATTCCTTTCTGGATAGTAACACTCTGCTGAGTTAAGTCGGTTAGTCCCATCGAAGCCCCCCACTGCATACAGCAAGCGGTTCAGTACTGCCACGCCCACGCCAATCCTCCGAGTCAACATTGGTGCCACTAGGTGCCACTCATCCCGATCTGGCTCATATCTGCAAAGGACATGATTACACCATGGTCATCCCAGAACTACAGCTGGTCTTCCTAACAATAAGCCCCAACACCTACCAGCACTTTCTCCCCTCTATTTTAGAGCTAGGGTCTTGCTGTGTAGCCCAGGCTAGCCCAGAATTCCAGCTCCTCCTGGTTCACTCTCCCTAGTATTGGGGTGACAAGTGTGTAGCACCTCCTAGCCCTGATCTCTTTATTTCTCTCAAGGGAGGGGAGTCAGCAGCTCCATTTCCAGAGGAAGAGACTGAGGCTCACAGCCATCAGTTATGGAAGCCACAGCCAGGCCCCTTCAACCCTTCTTGCTGAGTCACCTGCGTTTCACCTCACTGGAGCTCATGACCTCAGTCACAAGTAAGATCTGCACCAGAACTATGGGTTAGGACATTCAGGATCACCTGACATCGGAGCAGGTGTCTAACTCCAGAACCCAAGAAAGTCTAACTAGGCTACCATTCAGACAGCAGCCCTCCAAGCAATACCATCAGACATGGGGTGAGCACATCCTGGTTGGCCCAATGGCATCCAGTCCATACCTGTGCTCCTGGAGTTATTAATAGTGCCCCTGTCCTGAAAGCAGCCCGCTCAAGATGACACAGCATCCCACCATCCTATTCACAGACCACACACATTAGAGGTCCCTAGGGCGTTTGTTTAAAATACCATTTTCAGGCTGGGGGTGGGGTTGGCTGGAGGAGAGGGCTGGTCCATCATGCACAAGTCCCTAGGTTCTATTCCCAGCACCACAAATACATGTTTTTCAAATTTTCTCATTCTCCTACCCTTGCTTCAAGCCCTAAATTTGTGGGGGACAGTTGTCTGTTTGGAGGCAAGGCCTATTGTATCCCAGGCTGGCCCTAAATTTGCCATACAGCCAAAGATAACCTTGACTCCCTGATTCTGCTCAGGCATTATAGGTTTATGTGGTGCTAGGGAAATGCTCTGCCAACTAAGTCACATCCCTAGCTCTTTTCTTTCTTCCTTTCTCTTCTTTGCCAGTACTGGGGATAGAACCTAAAACTGGATTCAAGCCAGGGACCAGAGCCCTACCACTGAACTACATTCTAGTTCAGATATTACATCTTAACGTGATCATATAGTTAGCATAACGTATTTCACATATTGAGGTAATTCCCATTGTCCCCCGCGTGCAGATGATTCTTACAGGTTCAGGAAGGTCCCCTCCAGCAATTCCCAAACCTGGACACTGAGGATGAACACCTCCTCTAGAGGTGGAGACAAGGGCAGATGCCCTCCCTTTGGGTCCCCAGTACTCACCTCTCCACGCTGCTGTGATGGATGCAGCCGTGGGAACCCCCGACTGCGTAGATGTGGCCATCTATGACCCCTACCCCGATTCGGTTCCGCGGCACGCTCATAGAGGCACAGGGAGACCACTGGTTGGTCATGGGATTGTAGCAGTCCAGGGCGTTGGAGTCGGTGTTGCCATCGGGCGAATTGTTGCGGCCACCCACAGCGTAGAACAACCCGCCCACCACGCAGCCCGCCAGTCCGCTGCGTGGCACCTGCAGGTCGGCCAGGCGCAGCCAGGAGCCGTCACTAGGGTTGTAAGCCTCTAGATAGCTGAGCGACTGTCGGAAGTAGCCGCCCGCTGTGTAGATGAGGCGGCCCACCTTGGGCGCTCGGCAGGGCACGGACTGCGTGGGCTTGTGCAGCGTGAGCTCCTGGAAGATCTGCACCAGGTAGTCCTTGCAGCGTGCATCGGCCTGCAGAATCTCGCACTTCTGCAGTTGCGTCTGCAGGAAGCGCGGCGTGAGCGCGTGGCAGCGCACAGCCCGCAGCAGTGCCTGCACGTAGAAGCGCCGCTGTGGGCAGTCGTACTTGACCCAGTCGATGCACGCGTGGAACACTTCCGACTCGCAGCGCACGTTCAGATCATCACGGCTGATGAGCGTGGCCAACTGGCAGTGCGACAGGTTGAAGAATTCCTCCTGCTTGGCCACCTGCAGGGAGCGCAGGAGAGAGGCTGCGCTCTGGAAAGACAGCAGGCAAGCCGAGCACCCACATACAGGGCCTTGCACAAGCCACACAGTGGGCTTTCTTTAGGCATCTGTACTGTTTGGTTTGGATTTAACTTTTTAAAAATGCATAACTAGGCGTAGGGGCACAGGCCTATAACCCCCCATCACTCAGGAGGCAGAAGCTAGAGGATGTCTGAATTCAAGGCCAGCCTGGTCTACATAGCCAGCTTCAGAGCAGCCAAGACAATGCAGCAAGATCCTGTTTCAAAAATAAATAAATTCAGTCTGGCCTTTAATCCCAGCACTTGAAGGGCTCTTGAAGGAGGATGTCTGTGAGTTCCAGGCCAGCCTGGTCTACAGAGTAAGATCCTCTCTCAAAAAGTATTTTTAATTAATTTATTGGTCTATTAAGTATGCATGTGCAGTGGTAGATGGTGGTATCTGGTAGATGGGTTGGCACCTTCCACCATATGGGTCCCTGGGATTGGTCTTCAGGCTTGGCAGTAACAACCTGTATCGACTTTATAGACTTTTGTCTCTTTGTTTGACTGGCTGGGTTTTGAGGACTTCAACCCCCCCCCCCCAGGGCTCATACGATGGAAGGAGAGGGTCAACTTTTGCAAGTTGTCTTCTGACCACCACATGAAACTGTGGCATGTGTATGTCCCCCCTAAATAAATACAATAAAAATTTAAAACTAATAATAAAATATAAAATATAGTCTTTAATCCCAGCTAGCACCTGGGAAGCAGAGGCAGGTAAATCTCAGTGAGTTCCAGACCAACTGGGTTACTGAGTGAGCTCCAGAGCAGTCAGGGCTGTTACACAGAGAAACACTGTCTCCAAAACCCAAAATAAAATAAAAGTATAAAATGATTGATAAGCAGTGTTTCAGAATGGCATTTTTTTCAGATGTTGGAATATTTTATACAAGCAATGAGACATCTCAGGGGTTAAAATGAAGCACATAGGGCTTCAAGTGGATCTTAGTGGTCCAAGTCTCACCATTTGGAAACCTGATACATTAGAATTTTGGTTTCCAGACAAGCCTGTGCTAGGAAAACCAGCTGTCTCAAAGTGTAAATAAATAAACAAAATATATTTATGTGGCTCCAATGTTGAACTTACACAGCTTGAAGGATGAATGTGTGTGTGTGTATTGGGAAGCTGGCCTGGAACTTGCTGTGTAGTGTGTGTGTGTGTGTGTGTGTGTGTGTGTCTGTGTGTTGTCGAACTGACCTGGAACTCAATATGTAGAACAGACTGGCCTCCAATTCATAGATCTGCCTGCTCAGAACTAGGACTGGGAGTGTGCACCACTACACCTAATTATGTGTGGTGTGAGATGGAACCCAGGGCCTCATGCATGCTGGACAAATGCTCTGTCAACTAAGCTGTGTTATGCCTGTTTTGACTGCCACCCATCTTGTGAGGTCAGGTGTGGACAATTCCACCTGAGAGTGACACACAGGTATTCATAAAGATTTTGAAGATTTCAGTCTTGGGTTTGTTGGGCTGTCAATATTTAGAATGCAATGTCATGTCCAGGGCACAGCCTTTCTGATCACTGCCAACCTGTGCTACTGATGATGCTCTTGTCAAGGACTCTCTCACCTTTGCTTCCCTTGTAGACTTCCTGCTCTAAAAAATGAAACTGAAACCAGAAACATTCCATGAGACTAAGAAAGCCCAAGCAAGGCTGCAGCTTGCGGTTTCCCAGGCTGCAGCCTGAGGCTAATGGATACTTGTTGACTGCCCGTTCATATGGAAACACTTTTTCTTTTCTCGCTCTCCCTCCTCCTAAATCTCAATGTATAGCCCAGGGTGGCCTGGGACTTCAGTCATCCACCTGCCTCTGTCTCCAGAGTGCTAGGATTAAAGGCACTGGCCACATCTGGTTTGTTCTGACTTCTGACCCCAAAGAAAGCAGGGTTCTGAAGTGTATCTTGCCCTGTTCCTAGGGCCTCCCACATTAGGGGCTCAGAACCTGAGTTTTCAGGTCAGCAATATGGCTTTGTGGGCAAAGGCACTTTCTGCCAAGCCCTATGACCAGAGTTTAAACCTAAAAACATATATAAGGTAGAGAGAGCCAGTTTCTACCAATTGTCCTCAGACCTCCTAAGACCAGCCTGTCCGTGTGCCTGAGCACACACAAATAAATGTAAAAAGATTAATTTTTACTTTGTCCAGGGTATAGTGGCACCTGCCTGTGATCTCAGCACTCAGAATGTGACATTGAGGATAGGAGTTACAAAACAGCTTCAGGCTGGGCAGTGGTGGCCACACCTTTAATCCCAGCACTCAGGAGGCAGAGGCAGGTTTATCTGTTAGTTACAGACCAGCCTGGTCTACAGAGTGAGTTCCAGGGCAACCAGGTCTACCTTCCCCTAAAAAGAGACTCTGTCTCAAAAAAACAAGCATGAACAAGCAAAAACAAAACAAAAAACCCAAACAAACAAACAGTTCACCTACAGAATACTGAAAAAAAAAAAAAAAAAAAAGTCCTGGGGCTATGGCTTTCCAAACACAAAGCCACTTAAGTCACTGTGACTGTGAATATCTGTATTCCAGTACTTAAGAGACCAGGCTGGTGAATCAGGAGTTTAAAGTCATCCTTGGCTACATAACCAGATTAGGGCCAGCCTGGACGTCATGAGATCCTATGGGGGGGAAAAGAGGAAAGAAAAACAAAACAAGCAGAAGCTTTCTCCAAACTTGCAGTCTCAAAGGGAAATATAATGGGCTGTCCCACTCTTGTGACAACTGAGCCCAGACCCCAGCCCTCACTCACCTCCCCAAAGTGCATGTAGATATACTCCCTGGCACGCTGGTGAAGTTCGGTGCAGCCAATCTGCTCAGCGAAGTTGGCGATGCCAATGGCGTTGCTGGGGTCCAGCTGTTGCACGAGGAAGTCGCTGCAGGCTCGGACCACGCTGTCAATCTGATACATTAGTGCCCCATTCATCACGTGCAGCACACACTTCTCGCCCACAGAGATGGAGGCCGTGTAGGCAAACTCAATAAGCCTCTCCATGACCTTAGGGTGGATGCCTTCGATGGACACCACCTCCATTCCCTGCTCCCGAAGCCCATTGGTGAACATGGCCTTAAAGACCGGGCTGGAAGAGGCCAGCACCACTTTGTGAGCCATGAATTTGGCAGCAGGGATGTCCTCGTATTTGACCTGCAGGGTCACATCACAGAGCTGCTGACTCAGCCGAAGCTCGTTCATGATGCCAAAGGCCTGCTTAGTGTGGTCCTCTAGCGTGTAGCTGAAGGTGCGGTTGCCATCCTGGGAGGGTGTCACCTCGGCCTTGCACTCTGTGGAGGCATACATCACTGCATCCCCTGCCCCCTCGGGGCACTTTGACGACAGGGGCAGGAACTGGCTGCTGCGGGGCGCCCTGCTAGGCCTGGGTTCTGGCTGCATGGGGTTCCGGGTGACAAGGTACAATTCCACCACTAGCAACAGTTAGGGTCCTGGAGAGAGGGAAGAGTACAGGGCTGGGAACAGAGGGGTGAAGCCAGACCCTGCCAGGCTTCCCTTTGTTCCTTTCTTTCTTTTTAGTTTTGTTTTGTTTGTTTGTTTTTGTTTTGTTTTAGCCAGGTCCTTTGGGAGCCCAGGCTAGCCTCAAATTCACTATGTAACCAAGGCTGGCTCTTGAACTACTGACCCTCTCGTGTGCTGGGATTACAGGGTGTGTCACTATGCCCAGCCAGGCTTCCTTTAGAAAAACCAAGCAATGGTTTCTAGAGCAGTTTGCCAACCCTGGTATGTAAACAGTACATACCAGGCTCCATTTAAACTAACTAGTCCCCAACTCACTAGCCTGAAGGCCTGTCTGGTCAGAATCGCCCAACACCTTTCAACAAGCCCGAGAATGGAAACCCACCACAATGGCCTAAGTCCCATATAGTCAGCCCCTTTCCAACCTCTTCACTTACTGTCCCAGCCATCCATCCTTTCCCTTCCTCCAACAAGCCAAATTCCTTCAACACCTCACCAAAATTTACAGAGCCTGCCAAGTATGTACTAGGCACTGTCCTGAGCTCCAGCGACACAGCAGGGAGAGAGGAGGCCTGAAAATACGAGGTCTGTAGAGGAAACACTGGGTGCCAAGGTTCCGGGGCAGAAAGTGTGGGCATCAGGAATGCCTACGGTGGTCAATTCAGGGGGTTCAGGAGACTCTTGGAGAGCTGGGGCCAGTGGACCAGGTATATTTTGAATAGGGGATGTGGACCCGGGTTCTGTGGCTCAGCAAGGAGACGAGTCCTCCTCCCCATGTTATGTCTATTAAAGCACCGTGGTGGTGGTGGGAGGGCGATGAAATGCTCCAGGGGCCCCAGTAAATGAACGACTGTCACGCGTGACCACACTCCCGGAGCTTAGGCCTGGCACCGCGCAGGGGGCTGTACAGCGACGACCCGGTGCCCGGCGCCTGCTCCAGCGGCCTCCCCACCGCTCGGAGACGCAGCCCAGGCTCCTGGAGAGCCCGCAGGGCCTGATCCCGGGCCCCGGCCCGGAGCGGCGCACTCACCCCGCCATGGCCGCGCTCCGCCTCCGCCTCCGCCGCGCGGGTCACGGTGACTAAGCACAGCGCGCCACCCTGTCACAATAAGAGTCCCGGGGCGCCGGCCGCGGGCGACCCCTACCCTCCACTCGCCGGCCACGGCCGCCACCCTACGCGGGCAGGCGGGCGGCTAGGGAGCGCACTTGGGGGAACATGCGCTCCCCCCCACCGCGTGCACGGCCCCACGCGCGACCGCGGGCGGCACCCGGAGCTGCCTCCCCATCGCATCTCCGCGGGTGCTCGCTCACCTCCGTCCCACCCCCCCGGGTGTCTCTGTTGGTGCCACGCGTCCAATCCGCGCCAGCGGGCCGCCACGCGCCACGCTTCCGGGAGGAGCCGAGCGGGACCTGGGGGCCCTGGATCAGGGACAGCGGTGCTGCGGGGTCGCGGGCGGCACGCGTGGGAGGAGCGGGAGGGCGGAAACGAGCGGCGGGCACGCAGGGGCGGTTCCAGCCCTTCCTGCAGGTGCCGGGCGGAGGGAGCAGGGCGTGGGTCTGGGCGGCCCTAGAAGCCTGCCTCTGGGTTAGGCTGTGGGTGCTCCTCCTGCACCCTCCGACCCTCCTACACCCCACACGGTCCAGCTACACCCAACTACCTGGTTGATTTTATAAATGTAATCTTTTTAAAACAACTTTTTAATGTTTTTATTTCAATTTGTGTGTATTTTACTTTATATGTATGGGTGTTTTGACTGCGTACCTGTGCACTGTGTTCATGCATTGCCTTCTGAAGTCACAGGTGGTTGTGGGCCACCAGGTGGATGATGGAATTGAACTCTGGTCTGCAAGAGCAGCAAGAACTCTTAAATGCTGAGCCATCTCTCCAGGCTTATAACTTAAATAAAAATTTATTAATTTTGTGTATGACTGTTTTGCCTGTATGTATGTATGTATGTATGTATGTACACAACGTGAATACTTGATACCTACGCAGGTCGGGATTCCCTAGAACTGGAGATACAGATGGTTGTGAGCGTTTGGGAGTTGGGAATCAAGCCAGAGTCCTCTGTAAGAGCACGTGTTTTTGTTTGTTTTCTTTTCTTTTCTTTTTTAATTTTGTTTTGTTTTGTTTTAATTTTATTCTCTGTGTAGCCCTAGCTATCCTGGAACTCTCTCTGTAGACCAGGCTGGCTTCGAACTCACAGAGATCTGTCTGCCTCTGCGTGGGCTACTAGTGCCCATTGAGTAATTGTAATTTCTTTTGGGGACGGGGCCTCATTGTATATCCCTGGCTGGCCTTGAATTCTCAGAGACTCTCCTGTCTCTGTTTCCTGCATGCTGGGGTTAAAGGCTGTGACATCACTCAGGGCTTTTTTACATTAATTTATGTGTTGTGTGTGTTTGTGTAGTGGTCAGACTTGCAGAAACTGATTTCCAGCTTCCCCTCTGTGGGGCCTGGAGATGGAACTCAGGCTGCCAGGCTTGGCAACAAGAGGGTTGACCTGCTGAGTCATCTTGAAGGCCTCCTTGTTGAGTTTTGCAATCTCATTCATCCTCTCTCTCTCTCTCTCTCTCTCTCTCTCTCTCTCTCTCTCTCTCTCTCTCTCACCCTTACCCTCTCTCTCTCACCCTTACCCTCTCTCTCTACCCCCAACTAAGAGAGGTGTGGTGTTCATCTGAGAGTGTTGGAATGCCCAGATCTGCCTCTCTGTGTTTCTCACAAACTCTTGATATTTTTTACAGTAAGATAGATACTTATTTGCTACATATGGCATTTACCATAGCAAGTTATTTCCTGAATTTTCAAGGTGGCTCAGTGGGCAAAGGTGCTTTTTGCCAATCCTGGTAACCTGAATTCCATCCCTGGCATGCACATGGTAGAAGGAGAAAATCAACTCCTGTAAGTTGGCCTCGGACCTTCATATACACACGTTAATTTTGAACAATAAAGTTGTTTCTTATTGGTGCTAGAAAGATGGCTCAGTGGTTATGAACACTGACTATTCTTCCAGAGGACCCAGGTTCAATTCCCAGCACCTGTGTTAGAGTGGGACCCTGTAACTCCAGTCCCAGGGGACCCAATGCCCTCTTCTGTTCCCCACAGGCACCACATAAAGTAAAAATAGAAATTATAAAGTATTTACCATATTACTAATATTTTGGTTTTTTGATACAGAGGATCAGAGCTTACCCACAAACACCTGTGAGTCTAGTTCCCAGCTAATGGCCCATCTCTACCTACTATACAAACACACACACACACAAATATTTTTTAAAGAAAAAAAATTTTTAAAGCCAGGAAGTGGTGGCTCACACCTTTAAACCCAGAACTAGGAAGAGAAAGTCCAGCATGGCCTACAGCTCAAGTTCCAGGACAGCAAAGGCTACATCAGGAGACCCCATCACAAATAAGCAGTTGAAGTTGAAGAGATGACTTAGTGGTTTAGAGCACTTGTTGCTTTTGTAGAGAAAGGATTCTGGATTCCATTCCCAGTACCCACATGATGACTCACAGCCATCCATAACTCCAGTTATAGGGGATCCAATGTCATCTTCTGACTGCTATGGGTACCATGCACATAGGTTGTGCACAGATATACATGCAAGCAAAATATCTATGTACATGAAAGAACATAAACTTATAAACAAAAATCAAAATAAACACATCTGTAATCCCAGAATTTAGTAGGATTGCCTGTGAAAGATTTTAGTTTGCAGAGCAAGGATGTAGGAAAGGGGCAGGAGAATAATCTTTCAAGCAGAATATAGAAAATCATAAAGAATGGATATTGACATGGGGAAAACAGGAATTATGAGAACAAGAAAGTTTACTATGGTGATGGGGCTAGTGGTTATAAGCTAAACTGATCTTGTTAAATAGAGCTAGTTACTAAATCATCAAACCTTTATGGAATAACTGAAGGCTCTAAATGTACAGCCAAGAGAAAGCCAGAATATGAAAAAAGTTTCTTACAGGTCTTGGCCCACAACAAAGAAATAGGCCCCCAACCCAGGAACAATTGATTCCAGATGAACAACCCTATCTGGGTCACTCCTGACCAACGGACAGTCTGGGGACTTTCCAAGTCATTCTATGGTTCATCCCTTGAAGAAGAACAGGTCATACCTGGGTGATCTCTCAAACATGAGATCATACTTTGTAATCAATCACCTTGTACCCCATGCATGTATGCTGATTTGTGGCTTGTCTCTATAAAAAGGAGCCTAAACCCTTTCCCTGAGATTGCTGTCACCCGAGTGCACTCGTTCAATAAACACCTCTTGCATGTTGCATCTCCTGGTTTTGGTGTTTGTGTCACAGGGCTCTCCCACTGGCCCATCAGGACCCCGGAATTAGGGTCCAACAACCTGCAGTTCAAAGAAAGCCTGGGCTACCTAGCAAGACCTTGTACCAGAAAACAAATGAATAAACTATGAAAGAATGAAGAGTTTTAAAAAGACATTTACCACAGGGAGTATGAAGTAGAAGGGTTGAATGTTTGAGAAGAGCCCAAGCTACTTAGTGAGACTCTGTCTGAGAAAAAAAAAAAAATCAGGCATGGTGTCACACACCTCTAACTTTAACATTCAAGAAGCAGAGGCAGGCAGATCTCTGTGAGTTTGAGGCCAGCCTGATCTACAGAGAGTTCCAGGACAGCCAAGGTTACACAGAGAAACCCTGTCTCAGAACAAAACAATTTAAGCAAAAATGATGTGGGACAGCGAATGTGTGTGGTGCACACCCAGGGTCCAAGGAGCCAAGGGAGGAGGCTTAGGATTTCTGTTTTGTTTTCTTTGAGACAAGGTTTTACTGTGCAGTTCTGTCTGTACGGGAAGTCCCTCTGTAGACCAGGCTGGCCTTGAACTCACAGAGATCTGTCTGCCTCTGCCTCCTGAGTCCTGGGATTACAGGCGTGCACCATTGCCTGGCTAGGATCAGAAAAAATTTATTTATTTTTTTAATGTATTCATTATTTATTTATTACATATACAGTGTTCTGTCGCACGTATGACTGCAGGCCATAAGAAGCCACCCAATGTCATTACAGATGGTTGTTAACTATCATGTAGTTTGCTGGGAATTGAACTCAGGCCCTCTGGGAGAGCAGTCAACTGCTCTTAACCACTGAGCTTTCTCTCCAGCCCCAGGAAAAAAAAAATAATTCATTTATTTGTGTTTCATGCACATTGGTATTTTGCCTGCATGTCTGTCTGTGTGAGGGTGTCTGATCCCCTAGTACAGGTGTTACAAATAGCTGTGAGCTGCCGTGTGGGTGCTGGGAATTGAACCCAGGACTCTGGAAGAGCAGTCAGTGTTCTTAGTGCTGAGCCAGCTCTCCAGCCCATGGGGTCAGAAATTTTAAGGACATCCTTAAAAAATTGCATTTCGGGTCATTTTCCCACAGAATACTTCTGGAAGTTCCCTACAAGTCCCAACTTTTTAAAATTAATATTAAATAGAGAACTGGGTGGGTTTTTAAAATTATTGTTACTTAGTATCAGAATCTGTAAATTTGCCACTGTCAAACCACCAAACCAACCCCAAGAAAGATACGAGCACTGTGGGGAGTATTCCTGGTGTGCCCTCAGGCTTCTCAGAAACTTACCTTCTGGGAAAGAGATTCGGTTTTGGGGGTTTCTTTCTTCTTCTTCTTCTTTTCTCTTTCTTTCTTTGTTTCTTTTTTTCACAAGTGACCTGCAGTCCCACCGGCTTTGATGCTGCTTGTAGTTCCCAAGATTACCTCAAGGAGGCGGGCTGCACCTTATCCCTTGGCCAGCCCTTTTGCAATTCCCAGGACTGCTGCAAGGTGGCGCGCTGCACTTTAAACAGCAGCCAATGTCCTTTCCCTACCCACAGCCCCCACCCGGAGCCCGCCCACCTGCCAGGCAAGTGCCAGGGGTCATGAATGTGTCTGGGGACTTGCTAGGGATGGCATGGGAAGCAAGCGTTAGTGTTAGTTTTGTATTGCCCCCCCCCGGCAACGATTCAACCTTCGAGGAATGTTAGTCTAGTCTAGACAGACCCCCACTAAGAGTAGCAATTACCAGGCAGACCCCTTCCTCATGCGGGCCTGAGGGTTGCCTTGCTAAAGCACTGGGGAGAAGGAATTATTATTTACAGTTTGTTTATCTACCAAATGGAGGGTGACTGTAGCATCAAGTCCCGGGCACGGAATAAGCCACGTGTGATAGGGCATGCGTTTATCCACAGGAAACAGAATGCACAAGTTTAATAAGGTCGTCTTCTGTTTCATAGCATGTTTGAATCCAGCCTGGGCTACAAGAAACGTCATCTCAAAAGCAGGGCCTAAGGTGTGCGTTCATATTAGACCTGGAGTGAGAAGGTTTCTACTAGCAGAACCAATGGGTCCGTGGACCTGTAAGTGGCATTGAAATGCTCAGTGTGGAACCAATCATCAGTGCTAAAGACCGTGTGTCCATCCTCATGAATATGACCGAAGCTGACAAAGTCACAGGCCAGTTTAACGGCCAGTTTAAAAATCTACGCTAGGGGCCAAAGAGATGGCTCATCGGTTAAGAGCACTGTCTGTTCTTCCAAAGGACCCAGGTTCAATCCCCAGCACCCACATGACAGCTCACAGCTGTCTGTAACTCCAGTTCCAGGGGCTTTCACATCCTCAAATGCAGACATATATGCAGGAAGAGCACCAATGTACATGATCTAAAAATAGATAAATTAAAAATAAAACCCTATGCTAGGACCTGGAGAAGATGGCTCAGCAGTTAAGAGCACTTAACTGCTCTTTCAGAGGACCTGAGTTCAATTCCCAGCAACCACATGATGGCTTACAACCAAATGGAATCAAATCCCTTTATGTATATGTACCATATACATAAAATACACAAATAAACCAGGCAGTTGTGGTGTTCGCCTTTAATCCCAGCTCTCAGGAGGCAGAGGCAAATCTCAGTGAGTTCGAGGCCAGCCTGCTCAACAGTGCAAGTCCCAGAACAGGTTCCTGGACAGAGAAACCCTGTCACAGACCACCACCAGCGCCTCCCCCCAAAAAAGAGAGGAACTAACATAAAATACTGGGCATGAGACAATGGGGGAGGGGTGAGATGCCTCATGGGTTACAGGCATTTGCTGGCACCTTAGGATCTATGTGAAGGGAGAGAACTGAGGAGAGTTTCTCTCTGACTGTTGCATGCCTGCTGTGGCCTGTGGGTACCCACACACATCCACACTGGCACAGAATACATAAGTAAATAAAAGTTTTAAAGACAAGATCCCTCTTAGCACTTGTGAGGCAGAGGCAGGCAGATCTCTCTGAGTTCAAAACCAGCTTGGTCTACAGAGCCCTATCTACACACACACACACACACACACACACACACACACACACACACACGGACAGGGTCTCAATGTGACAAGGCTGGCCTGAACTGACATACCCGGAAGTAAAGGAATTCCCCATCAACCCCAGCCCAAATGAATACCTTTAATTCTAGTATTCAGGGGTTCCAGGAGAGTCTGGTGTACATAAGGAGTTCCAGACTAATTGGAGCTGCACAGCAAGAGAGAGCCTATCTCAAAATAAACAATAAAAAACAATTTTAAAAGCTTTTAAAAATATTTATTTACTTTATGTGTGAGTGTTTTGTTAGTATTCATTTCTGTGTACCATTTGAATGTCTGGTGCTCTTGGAGTTCAGATGTGGACACTGGATTCCCTGGAACTGAAGTTACTAATGGTTATAAAGGCCAGGAGCAGCACTTGGGTGCTGGGAATGAAACCCAGGTCTCCTGCAAGAGCAACAAGTATTCTGAACTGCTGAGGCATCTCTCTAGCCCATCTTTCAAGATGGTGTCTTTGTGTAGCCTTGACTGTCCTAGAACTAGTTCTGTAGACCAGGCTGGCCTGGAACTCACAGAGATCTGCCTGCCTCTGTCTCCCAAGTGCTGGGATTAAAGGCATGCACCACCATTGCCTGGCAAATAAACACTTTAAAATATGATGATTAGGATCGTCTGGGGAAAATAAAATAATAAATAAATAGATGAATGCATTTATTCTGAAAGATCACAGTGAGGCCAGCAGCTCTAATTGTTTTAATTGTAGTTGTATTTTGTATGAAGAACCTGACTCCACAGTCTGAAAACTTAGCAGCTGAGATCTGGCAAAGGCTCCAGGGTCACCTTGCTGTCGTTCTCCTCAACTCTGCCTCTGTAGCCAGTCATTCATCCTGCTGGCACACCCTATCTAGACTTCACCTGCTTCTAAACATGCGGGGAACCCCTCCCCTTTACAAAATCCTTCATCTTCCAGTCATGTCCCTTAAACTCAGGGTACCTGTGGAGTTCTGAATCCGGGCAAGTCCCGACTTTGTTTAGAACTCTCTGTGGCTTCCACTTCACTCAGAGTCAAATCACAGGCCTTCCTCAGAATCAACAGGATTTCCCACAATCTGCCCTGTCATCTCACATCTCTGCGTGGGACTCCTCCTCAACTTCTGCTCCAGTCACACCACTGAATGGTTCTGCTTCAGGATTACTAGCTCAGGTGACATCACCAACTGTAAATGTTTCTCATTATCATTGTCCATGTCAAACGTACAAGAGGCATGCATTTTTGTCTGTTGCTGTTAATGGGACAGTCAATCAATTTTCCTTCCTTCTTTTCTGTCCCTGTCGTCCTCGGCATTTCCTACATATGATGCGCTTATTTGGAGAATCAGTCTGGGGAGCATCAGTCTGTAGCAGCAAGCACCAGGGTCCGGTTGGCGGTTGCTGCTCCGGGACTGCCTGTAGAGCAGCTAGTGTCCAACCTGTCCTGGTGGGGAGATGAATGTTCTGATGGACTGGAGCTGCGATCCAGGCTTGGTGGCAGGCACCGTCGTAGGCCACCACCTGAAGGCCCAGCAGCACTGGGGGATCGTTGCAAGCTATTGGAGGAGTCCTGGCTACAGGGCCCTCGGCCACAGCAGAGCAGCCGCAGGAGCCCGTGGCGCAGGTCTCGGTTGGTGAACGTGTAGATGATGGGATTCAGCAGCGAGTTAGCCATAGCTAAACCCAGGAAGGGGTCGGCCTGCAGGAGCACGGGACACGCGCGGGCTGGGCACGCTACATCTAGCAATAGCAAAAGAAACAGAGGTCCCCAGCAGGCCACGAAGGCCAGGAGCACCACGCTGAGAGTGCGGAGCAGGGCCAGCGACCGTGGAGTGTGCCGCGATCGCGAGGACGAAGTGGCCCTGCGGGACCCGGGCCTAGCCCGCAGTCGACGAGCGTTGGCTCGCACCTGACAGTAAATCCTTGCATAGAGCGCACAGATGGCAGCCAGGATACCCAGGAACGCCAGCACGCAGAAAAGCACATAGGCCTTGGCATAGAGCGGCAACACGGTGGAGCAGGTTTCTAGGCGTCCCAGGCAGTTCCAGCCCAGCGCCGGCAGCAGCCCGAGGAGCAGTGATGCGCCCCAGGCGGCCACAGCCATCGCCAGCGTGCGAGCGCGACTGGCAGCGGGTGCGGGTCCTCGACGGGCCATGGTGAGGTGGCGTTCCAGCGCAATGGCCAGGAGGCTCAGCACCGAAGCTGCGAGAGCCACGAAAACGCCCCCCTCGCGCGCAAACCAGAGCGCGGGTGACAGGCGCAGCGTGAGCGGCCCCGACAGCAGGATGTTGGTGGCGTAGGCCGCCCCCGCCAGCAGGTCCGACAAGGTGAGGCTGCCTAAGAGCAGGAACATGGGCGCGTGGAAGCGAGGGTGGCGGCCCAGAACCAAGAGCACCGCCAGGTTCTCCAGCACGATGAAGGCGCACACAGCCAGGCACACTGCAGCATCTGCGCGCAGACCGGCGCCGGGCTGGTAGCGCGCCCCACGGAGCTTGCCGGTGTAGTTGTAGTGAAGGACGATGACCTCGCTCACCGGCGCGGGCCTCAGCAGCCCGGGCTCCATGGGCCACAAGCCACCCACAGCAGAGAGGTCGCTGCTGTGTCCTGCTGGTTGTTCACTGGAGCACTGTGCGAAAGTCTACAGAAGGCAAAGACAGTTAGGATCTAGGAATTCTAGAGAAAGAGCCCTGGAAGAGAGTTCCTAACCCCTGAGCCTTCTCACACACCAAAAGTTGTCCTTTGACCCTCCACACATGAATAGAAAGTAAATAAAAGTCTATAAAGTATTTATTTTAAAAAAGTAAAACTAGCTATGGTGGCCTCGCCCCTGTGATCCCAGCAGTCCAGAGCAGACAGGAGGAGTAAGTGGGGGAGGGCCTTTGGTGCACACTTGTCACCCTAGGACTTGATAGATGGAGGCAGGAGGGTCAGTAGCGAAGGTTAATCGGCTTGGGCTCGGAGAACTCATCTCAAGTTGATAAAAAGAAACTCAATAACACAAAAGCTCAGACACATCCAGACACGTCCTCCTAAACAAAAGAGAATTCAAGAAATCATGGCTATACAACCTCAGACAGGGGCATGCAACAAGGAAGGAGCACCATACAGATGAAGGCACAGATACTCCGCCCAGCTCTGAGGCTTTAGCTCTCTAGAAGACTGTATACCAGGAGGCCCTGAGCTCTAGCACCCTCCCTCTTCCAAAAGCTGCACACTCCCTCTTAACCAACCGCAGGCAGAGAAACATGAGAATACATTTCTCATGGGTGCATGGAAGATTCAATGACAGAAGCCACCACAGGGGCTCAACCCTGGGAATGGTCTCACACCCAGTAGAACAGGCCACAATTTCACAACCTCCACCCACAGCCAGCCTGGGGCCCAGTGCCCCACACTGCACATGCTTTGACACACATTGGCTCTAGCGTGTTTTAAAAAAAGAAATGTCATCCCCTCCAAGCCCCAGTGAGTAAGTTGGTTCTGGACACTCATTGCAGAGTCAGAGCTGCAGAGCAGCACATGGGAACCCCCAGCAGAGACACACATCATAAATCACAACTCCCCTGACCTGCCAGCAACCCTTTGACCCTCTAGGTAGGTCTTTAGTCCTGGGCTATAGATGAGCAAAAATGGGTTCCTAAAGAAATACCTTGCAAGACTGGCAAGATGGCTTAGTGGGTAAAGGACTTGCACCCAAGCCTAATGACTTTCATGTCTAGAATCCACACAATGTAAAGAGAGAACCAACTCCCACAAACTGTCCTCTGACCTCTATATTTGTGGTGTGGCATGCATACATCCACAGTCCCACCCAACTATCCGCCAACACACACACACACACACACACACACACACACACACGTAAATGAGATTTTAAAAAAAATTGAAACAAAGTCTTATTATGCAACCCTGACTGGCCTGGAACTTAACAGCAATCCACCGGTTTCTGCTTCCCAAGTGCTAGGATTAAAGGCATGTGCTATCACGTCCTCTAAAATTTTACAATAAGAAATGTCTTGCATAGACTCAATTTAAACAAAGGACAAGGCCTCAAATTAAGCTGCTGGAAGTTACATTGAATTTCTATCCTCCTGCTTCTACCTTCTGAGTTAGGAGTTACAGGGGCATGCCACTGCCCCAGTTTATCTGGACATGTATCCCTGGGCTGTCTGCATACTATGCAAGCCCACCACCAACTGAGGCCCTCTTAGTCCCATTTTCTGTATGAACAGAGGGAGACTCTAAAGAAATGCCTTGTATAGAAGTAGACGCAAGCCTGGTGTGGTGGTATATTCTTTTAATCCCAGCACTCAGGAGTCAGAGGAAGGCAGATCTCTGAGTTCCTCTGACTCCTGAGTGAGTTCCAGAGCAGCCAAGGCTACACAGAGAAATCCGTCTCAACAAACAAAACAAAAGTAGCTCCAAAGGTGTGAGTTTCTCTCATAAACACAGTCCCACAAAAATAGTAACATAATTCACAGAAGTCCCTCTTAGCAGATGAGAAAAACCCAGGCCTGGGGGACAGATTTCTCAATACCAGGAAGGCAAAGGGACAAAGAGGTCCCAGACAACTTCAGAGTCACACAGGGGACCAGCCGCGAAGACAGACAGACTTGGAGGTACTGGTTGGGCCACTCTAGGTGCTGGAGCGGCACAGGCCATGCAGCATTCTCCGCTGCAGTATACTCAGCAGAGGGTCCGGACTTTTGTACCAACACTCCGGTGACTTGAATTTCCTAGGAAAAGGAAAAGTTTGCAGGAGCCCAGTCAGGCTGAACTGGAGGATTCCTGGGGTCCCCACTCTCTCCCAGTAGGGGATCTGCGAGTACCCCTGGGGTTTTCAGTTTTCTCCACGGGGGGGGGGGTGGGACACACGAGTGGAGGCCTAGGATAAAGGATCTAGAAACTCCAGCAAGGATCATTGTGCCCTTCCACCCCCGTAGTGGCTCCAAGGAGCCGAGTCCCACTTCCTGCGAGTTCCCCAGTGCTGGACACTCACCTCTGCGCCTGGGTGGTGTGCCCAGCGCTATGCGCCTAGGAACACTGCACAGCTGCAACGCGGGCGGGTGGCAGGCCTGGGGGCGGGCCGGCGAGGAGGAGTGCTGGCGATGGACAGCAATTGCCCCCTCCTCCTCCCAGCCCCGGGTTGCCAGCCTGTGCCACGCGCCGTGGCACCGGAGAGTGACCCAGCGGCGACTGGTACCAGCAAGTCCTAGCTTCTCCCTCGGGTTCGCTTCCAGGGACACTCTGGGGTGGGAGGGCACAGAATCTCGGGGAAAGGAGGGGCTTTCCAGGTGAACCACACCCCTACTCCAATTAAGGGGTTCAATCTGTCCTCTGATGCCTGGACCCCTGAGTCTGCATCCCAAAGACACCTTAATGGGGTAGTAACTGGGCAGCTCAATTTATGAGCGCAATTTATGGGCGCGGCTGCTGAAGTCTTCACCGGGTGTGGACAGGTCTCTTTTGCTCCAGCAGCACAGGTCCCTCCCCCATTTCCAGATCATTCTCAAGAGGCAAGAGGGGGAGTGGGGTGCAAGCTGAATGACGATGATGGGAACTTCCAGGTCCCCAAATAAGCAGGGTCTGACTCCTCCCGCACGCAGCCTCTCAGTCTCCGCCCCACTCCTCTCAGCCTTTAAGATCTCAATAGCTGGGTATAGCATTTGTTGTGTTTGGAGGACAGGGATTTGTTTTGTTTTGTTTTGTTTTTTGAGACAGGGTTTCTTTCTCTGTAGCCCTTACTGTCCTGGAACTCGCTCTGTAGACCAGGTTGGCCTCAAACTTATATCCTCCTGCCTGTGCCTCCAAGTGCTGCGATTAAAGCCATGTGCCCCCACCCCCTGACCCCCAGTTGGGGACGGGTTTGACTCTGTCTTGGACCCTTCTGCATAAGTAAGGGTCTATTTTTAAAATTCGTAAAATTACGCTTATTTGTGTGTGTGTGTATGCATGTGTGTATCATGTCATGTGTGTGGAGATCAAAGGACACTTTGTCAAAGTTGTTTTTTTTTCCTCCCCCCCTCATTGTGAGTCCCCAGGAATGAACTCAGATCCTTAGGCTTGGCATCAAATGCCTTTACACACTGAGCCATCTCTCTGGCTCCTCTCAGAGCTTCTTGGTATCTCTCTCTCTCTCTCTCTCTCTCTCTCTCTCTCTCTCTCTCTCTCTCTCTCTGTCTGTGTCCCTGTCACATGCCACTCCTGCAGCAGGTTAACTTCAGCTGGCTCTACACCCACCCCTCTTTAATTCCCAGAGATTCCTGCCAAGGCTCTGCTTTTGCAACCTCAGACCAGCGATCACAGTCTGGTGTGGGTGTCTGTTTATGTGACCTTCCTGGGGACCACACCCTTTGCCCAGGGTCACTCCAGCCCCAGCTGGCCAGATGTCAGGGGTCTGGTGAGAGGTGAGCACACATCAGAAGAAGGCTGGGGATGGGAGTGAGTCTAGAGTTATTCCCTGTGGGTAGGATAGTGAGAAGTCTCAGGCTAGCTTGTGCCTCCGGCGAACCCCCTTAAATATAGCTCCTTGGGAGATCCTCAAGGCTCCAGGTTCAACTGTTCCCAGTGGACAGAACTGCTCCTCCCATTTTAACCAATGGAAACCACTTGCCCTGGTAGTATAACCAATAAGATGGTTGGGGCTGGACCTTAGGTGCTGGATTCCTCACAACTCCAAAGACCAAGCATTTCTCTAGGTGCCTGGGAAATGAGTCTTGCCTGGTAGCTAGTAGGCTCTGACAAATGGCTTTCTTATCAGAGGGGAAGCATTGTGGGAGGTGGCTGCTTCACACCTCCCAGGCAACAATAGCACATCCTGTGAGCTCTGCCAGCCACAGTGAGACTCTTCTGGCCACCACTAGTCATTGGTCCCTGGCCTAGGACCCTCTTGCAGACTCCTTGCTTTCTTTTCCGTTGAGTATGACCCCGTGGAACTCATTCTGCTGCTACTGGACAGATGTCATAAATTCCATGGACCACCCACACTTCTGCCTCTCACTTCATACTTGGAGCCACACTTGTTACTACTGGGATTGTTCTCTTCCCCTGCTCGAAAGCCTGCCATGGAATCCATGTCTCTTAGGCTAGGTAGCCCACTCAGCCACACCCACTTCCTGACATCAACACCCCGAACTCTCTCAGTTCCAGCCCTGTTGACCTCCTTATTCTTCAAGGGTCCTGGGCCACTGAGATGGCTCAGCCAGTAAAAGTGCTTGCTGTGGGTCTGCCAGAGAGCTCAGCCAACTACCAAGCCTGAGCTTGATCCTTGGAAGGAGAGGCAACACCAGAGAGTTATCTTCTGATCTCCACAAGAGCACCATGGTGCTGGAATGCCTGTACACACACACACACACACACACACACACACACACACACGAGAGAGAGAGAGAGAGAGAGAGAGAGAGAAAGAGAGAGAGAGAGAATTCTAACACATAGAAGAATAAAACCCAAACCAAAACTTTAGACCTTAGAATCAGCTAGAATCAGCCAGCAGTTTCCCAACTGCTCACCTCCTCAGACAGGCCTTTTTTTTTTTTTTTTTTTTTCTTTTCTTTTTTTCAAGACAGGGTTTCTCTGTGTATCCCTGGCTGTCGTGGAACTCTCTTTGTAGACCAGGCTGGCCTCGAACTAACAGAAATCTGTCTGCCTCTGCCTTCCAAATGCTAGGACTAAAGGTGTGTGCTATCACCACCCGGCTCCACAAAGGCTTTTTATAATTTAACCAAAAGGAGGGCTGGCGAGGTGTTTAGAGTATGAAGTTAGAGTCAGTTCTTTTGAGGCTGCTGAAATAGAGATATTTCAGGTTCACAATTGGATATTGACTGTATACATAATTCTCTAATTTTGAGTGTGGTACTATTTGTCACCACTGTATCCCAACAGAGGAATTAGGAAGAGTGACAACCGCACCCCAGGTGTTCAAACACCACACCCAGTTCCCACTCCTATTAGTAGGTATAGTTAGAATCCAGTCCTGCCCCCCCCCCACTCCTGCCACAGCCTGCCCCCAGGCTTGTCTAGGCCATTCACCGGCTTGGCCTGTTCTACAGAAGATCCTCAGGCATGAAGGCTGCCACACCCATGCTATGCCCACTCTCTAGGA